ACACAACCACCATTCTGCAGCCCATGGATCAAGCAGTAAGTTTGATTTTCAGTCTATTATTTAAGAAATCCACTTCATAAGGCTATAGCTGCCATACATCGTGATTCCTCTGATGGATGTAGGCAAAGTACATAGAAAACCTTGTGGAAAGAACTCACCACTCTACATGCCATTAAGACTATTTGCAATTCATGGAAGGAGGTCAAAATGTCAACATTAACAGGAGTTTAGAAGAAGTTGATTCCAACCCTCACTTTTTTTTTGAAGACTTTGAGGGCTTCAAAACTTCAACAGAGGAAGGAACTCCAGATGGGGTGGAAATAGCAAGAGAATTAGAAGTGGAGCCTGAGGGTGAGCATATGTGAACTGATGAGGAGTTGCTTCTTATAATTGAGCAACTCCAAAGAAAAGTGGTTTCTGGAGATGGTAATCTACTCACGGTGGAGATTCTTTGAACATTGTTGAAATGACAACAAAAGATTTCGGATATTACATGAACTTAGTTGATAAAGCAGCGACAGGGTTTGAGAAGATTGCCTCCAACTTTGAAAGATGTTCTACTATGGGTAAAATGCTACCAAACAACATTGCATGCTACAGAAAAATCTTTTGTGAAAGGAAGAGTCAATCCATGCAGGAAACTTCATTGTTGCACTTTTTTTTTTTTTTTTTTTTTTTTTGAGACAAGCTCTCACTCTGTTGCCCAGGCTGGAGTACAGTGGTGCGATCTCAGCTCACTGGAGCCTCCACCTCCCAGGTTCAAGCAATTTTCATGGCTCAGTCTCAGCCTCCCGAGTAGTTGGGATTATAGGCATGTACCACCATGCCTGGGTAATTTTTGTATTTTTAGTAGAGACGGAGTTTCACCATGTTAGCCAGGATGGTCTTGAACTCCTAGCCTCAGGTGATCTGTCTGCCTCGGCCTCCCAACGTAGGTATGTAGATTTTTTAGATATAATGTCGTTGCCCACTTAATTGACTACTTTAAACATAACTTTTATATGCACTGCAAGACCAAACAGGCTCACCTTATTTTTATTTTTATTTTTTTATGTTTTTTTGAGACGAGTCTCGCTTTGTCACCAGGCTGGAGTGCAGTGGCATGATCTCAGCTCACTGCAACCTCCACCACCCAGGTTCAAGCTATTCTCCTGCCTCAGCCTCCCAAGTAGCTGGGACTACAGGTGCCCGCCACCATGTCCAGCTAATTTTTGTATTTTTAGTAGACACGGGGTTTCACCATGTTGGCCAGGATGGTATCGATCTCTTGACCTCGTGATCTGCCCGCTTCAGCCTCCCAAAGTTTTATTTTGATACTTGCCTTTATCTCTGTGGTCTGGAACCAAACCCACAATATCACCAGCATAGGCCTATACAGCATAATCCCACATTATAACCACTCTTTTGCTTACATCCTCACCTCCATGAGCTTCTCTGCTTCATTTTTGCTGAAATACAGTTGTCTCTCAGTATCTGAGGGGGACTGGTTCCAGGACTCCCATGGATACCAAAAATCCATGGATACTAAAGTCCCTTATATAAAATGGTATAGTATTCACCGGGTGTGGTGGCTCATGACTGTAATCCCAGCACTTTGGGAGGCCGAGGCAGGCTGATCACTTGAGGTCAGGAGTTTGAGACCAGCCTGACCAACATGGTGAAACCCTGTCTCTACTGAAAACACAAAAATTAGCTGGGTGTGGTGGCGCGCATCTGTAATCCCAGCTACTCAGGAGGCTGAGGCAGGAGAATTGCTTGAACCTGGGAGGCAGAGGTTGCAGTGAGCCAAGACTGCGCCACTGCACTCCAGCCTGAGTGACACAGCGAGAGCGAGACTCCGTTTCAAAAAAAAAAAAGTATAGTATTTGCATATAACCTACATGCATCTTCCTGTATACAGATGGTCCCAGACTTACAATGGTTTAACTTACAATTTTTAGACTTTAGGACAGTGTTAAAGTTATACTCATGCAGTATGTTCCTGGATTTCCAATGGAGTTAGGAGTTTATCTGGATGCAACCCCAGCAGAAGTTGAGGAGTGTCTGTACTTTAAATAATCTCTAGACTACCTATAATACCTTAAAAAATATAAATGGTATATAAGTAGTTGTTATCCTGTGTTGTTTAGGGAATAATGACAAGGAAAAAAGTCTGTACATGTTCAGAACAGACACAACCATCATAGGTAAGCCTAATTACACTTTCAGTCTGTGGTCGGTTGAATCCATAGATGTGGAACCCACAGAAACAAAGGGCTCATTGTATCACAACCTTAGGTAAATCTAACTCTTTTTTACTCTATGCTTGATCTTATGCAACTGGTATAGTCAAAGAAAAATGTGTGAGCCATGATGTGCCACCTCACTCCAGCCTGTGCAACAGAGAACCTGTTGCTATAAAAAACAAAGAGATATATACGCAGATTAGACTCACATTAAAATAGTCACAAACCAGAAGCAGGACATTAACACTGCCCAGCATTCCTATTCGATCTATTTTCTTCCTTCCTTCCTTCCTTTTCTTTCTTTCTTCCTCTTTCTTCCCCTTTCTTTCTCTCCCTTCCTTTCTTCTTCTTTGTTTCTCCTTTCTTTCTCTTTCTTTTTTCTTTCTCTCTCTCCTTCTCTCCCTTTCTCTTTTCTTTCTTTTTCTTTTCTTTCCCCTCTCCTTCTCTTCTTCCTTCCTTCCTTCTTTCTTTCCTTTCTTTCCTTCTTTCTTTCTCTCTCTTTCTCTCTTTCTTTCTTTCTTTCTTGGTTGAGACAGAGTCTTGCTCTGTCACCCAGGCTACAGTGCAGTGGTACAATCACAGCTCACTACAGTCTCAATCTCCTGGGCTCACGGGATCCTCTTGCCTCAGCCTGCCACGTGGTTGGGACTACAGGTGTGCACCATCACTCCCAGCTGATTTTTTGATGTTTTTGTAGAGACAGGGTTTTACTTAGTTGCCTAGGCTGGTCTCAAATTCCTGAATCAAGTGATACTCCTACCGTAGCCTCCCAAAATGCTGGGATTCCAGGTATGAGCCATGGCACCCAGCTCCCATTCTATTTCGTTTCTTTTCTTTTTTTTTTTTCTTTTCAATTGAGATGGAGTCTCACTCTGTCACCAGAACGAGGAGTGCAGTGGTTCAGTCTCGGCTCACTGCAACCTCCACCTCCCAGGTTCAAGTGATTCTCCTGCCTCAGCCTGCTGAGTAGCTGGGATTACAGGCATGCACCTCCACCATGCCTGGCTAATTTTTGTATTTTTAGTAGAGACGGGGTTTACCATGTTGGTCAGGCTGGTTTCCAACTCTTGACCTCAAGTGATCTGCCCTCCTCTGCCTCCCAAAGTGCTGGGATTACAGGAGTGGCCACCACACCCAGCTCCATTCTATTTTCTTAATCATTTCCTTTTCTTACTCAGACTATCAATGAGAAAATCTTGGCTGACAGTGAAACCGCATGTTAGAAAGTTAGGCCTCAACAATATAAATATGCTAAATGAAAAGCATTATACTCTTACAACCTTAAAAGAATAAGTTACCCCTTTGTCTCAAACTACATCAGTAACAGAAACAATAATCGTAAAGAGAGGAAGATTGCTGTCCTTGATGCTAAACTGAATTTTTAGGTTCTCTTTACCATATGAGAATACATGGAAGAATCTGAATGATATGCCAAATGAATATGAGATTTTTTTTTTTTTTTTTTTGAGAGTCTTGCTCTGTAGCCCAGGCTGGAGTGCAGTGGCAAGATGTCGGCTCACTGCAACCTCCGCCTCCTGGGCTCTCCTTCCTCAGCCTCCCGAGTAGCTGGGATTACAACCGTGCACCATCATGCCAGACTAATTTTTGTATTTTTAGTAGTGATGGGGTTTCGTCATGTTGGCCAGCCTGGTCTCGAATTCCTGACCTCAAGTGATCCGCCCGCCTTGGCCTCCCAAAATGCTGCGATTACAGGCATGAGCCACCACATCCGGCAGAATATGAGAACGTTAATGAGATTCAGCTCAATGGCTCCCAAAATCTACTGGGAAAAAAGCAGATTGGTATTAGGACATTCAGACACATTTCAGACAAAGGAAAGCATGCCCTAAAACCAGTAATCTTAGGAAAGAAAAAAGCCAACTAACCTAAACATTGATTTTTAGACGTGAAAGAATTTTTTTCCTCCTCATCAGAGTCCTTTTGAGTAATAGCAGGACCAAGGAGGGGGAAAAGAATCATGAGTTACCAGGTCCTTCCTTGAAGCACGGAATGCCTCGTAACACAATACCCTCCACACCTTCCCTGTTCACACACTTTAACACATGGAGGTAGGAGGGAGGCTGGAATCTGGGTATGAGTTCACAGCAGGTTCCTGGGGTCAGAGCTCTGGGAAAGACGAGGTTCTGAGACAAGTAGCTCGCTCTCAGAGTTCACAAAGAAATAACCTCCCAGGCGTTTCCAATCTCACAGCAAGTCAATGCCTTCTTGCTGGAAAACTTCATTTAGAGTTCAGTATCCAATTTCCCTCTTGCAGACATTTTTTGTGTGTGTGTCAGCCGCAAGCAGCTGTGAGGAGAGAGGGGAGAAGACGCATCCAGGAACCTACAGCCACGACTCAAAGTGACACCGCAGTGCCACCGCAATCAACGTACATGAAAAGGACAAGCACCTCACATCCCCGTCACGCAAGCACAGCCACTCACTCACCTGTCACAGCCTCACAACCGCACCCACCGTCAAGGAGGCACATCACAGCCTCTCACACGCACAGTTTCTCTCTCACACACTCTCAAACATTCTCCATCTGACATATACAACATTCTCTCACGTGCGCACTCAAATACCCTCCTCTGCTGTTCATGCACCCACGGGCCTGAGATTCCGATAACAACTGGTCATCCAACTACAGGCTTCCATGGTTTAAGCGCTTCCTCCACCACCCCGGCCGGTTTAGGTTGGGCTCCAATGTAACTTGATTGCCCAGAGCTCTGCCTGCGAGTACCCTGTGCCTATCCTGAAATGAGTTCAACTCACCTTGCAAAAGAACCACGCGAAAACGGAAGGGAAGCCATAGATTGGGTGTTCCCGTTGCCCTCTGGGAAATGTAGTTTAAGCCTAAAGATCCATGACGGCGGTGGCTTGTGGGAAAAGTGTCTCGGAACCCCAAATCCCGGTTAGATTGCAGGCACCGCCGGACGCTGGCTCCCGGAGGGTTTAATCTTCCCTCTACCCGGAGTGCGCAGACACAGAGACTTACTGCGCTGGCGAAGATGGCTGAGGCGAAGCCATGTTCGACTTGTCCTCGGAGTCCTGAGGGTTTCAGTGACCACAGAAGGCTGAGAAGGGGAATCCGAACTCGGAGCTGCCGGAAGCCTCGGGCTGGTTGAGTGTAGAGCCGGTCGGGGAGGGGGTTCAAGGTGTGGCCGCGAGGGCGAGCGTGGGGGATCGGGTATGAGCTCCCGAGGGCGGGGACTCTGCTCTGTGTCCCCTGAGGAGGTCCAGCCTTGTTATAAGGTATGAGAAAAGTAACTTTTAAAGAATGGACAAATATTAATTGTATGTTTTATATACTGATAGAGTACAATATGCTGTTTTGATCTATGTTTACAATGTGAAATGATTAAGTCAAGCTAATTAAATCTGTCACGTCACTTTTTTGTGGTGAAAACATTTAAAATCTACTCTTTGAGCAATTTTGAAACATACAACACATTATTTATGTAGTTGCTATTCTGTGCAATAGATTACTAAAGTTTGTTCCTGCTAACTAACTGAAATTTTGTCCTCCTTTAATTAATATCTCCCTTTCCCCCATTTTTCAGTCTCTGGTAAACACCATTCTCTGCCTCTTAAGAGTTAGACTTTTTTAGATTCCACAAATACCACTTATGTGATATTTGTATTTGTCTTTCTGTTCCTGGCTTCTCTCACTTAGCATAATGTCCTCTTGGTTTATCCGTGTTGTCACAGATGACAGAATTTTCCTCGTTTTATTTTTATTTTTTATTTATTTTCTAAAAATCTATCTTTTATTTGTTTTTTAAAAACTCCATCTTGAGACGGAGTTTCACTCTTGTCGCCCGGGCTGGAATGCAGTGGCACAGTCTCAGCTCACTGCAACCTCTGCCTGCCCAGTCCAAGCAATTCTTGTGTCTCAGCCTCCCAAGTATCTGGGATTATAGGCATGCGCCCCTACATCGGCTAATTTTTGTATTTTCAATAGAGACAGGGTTTCACCATGTTGATCTGGCTGGTCTCGAACTCCTGACCCCAGGTGATCCACTCACCTTGGCCTCTCAAAGTGCTGTGTTTACAGGTGTGAGCCACTGTGCCCGGCCAATTTTCCTCTTTTTAAAAAGTGAATAGTATTCCTTTATATATACATATATATGTATATGACATTATATATATAATATGTAACATTCTCTTCATCCATTTATAACATGCTGGACACCTAGGTTGCTTCCATATCCAATGCAGAATAATGCTGCAGTGAATATGGTAGTGCAGTTCTCTCTTCAGCATGCTGATTTCAATTCCTTTAGCTATACACCCACAGGTGGGATTGCTGGAACATAGAGTAATTCTATTTTTAGTTTCTGATGAATCGCCATATTATTTTCCATAATGGCTGTATTAATATACATTGGGAAATGTACTTACTTTTGATGCTGTTGGGAATGGACTGGTTTATTCAATAAATTGTGTTAGGTACATTGACTAATTAGTGGGTAGAAGTGAAGTTATATTTACTTAATTCTTTAAGGCATAGTCAAAACAGACTGAATAATTAAATGTAAAAATGATCTGGAGAAAACGTTTTTGGCTTTTTTTTGAGATGGAGTCTCGCTCTGTTGACCAGGCTGGAGTGCAGTCGTGCGATCTCGGCTCACTGCAACCCCTGTCTCCCAGGTTTGAGTGCTTCTCCTGCCTCAGCCTCCCAAGTAGCTGGGATTACAGGCATGTGCCACCGCACCTGGCTAATTGTATATGTTTTAAAATATTGAGTTAGGAATAGATTTTCTAAGCTAAATTGACGTGAAATGCTAAGGAAATAGTGAGATTTAACTTGATAATTATGTGTCTGAATGAATCAGCCAATTAATAAAATTAAAACAGGCCAGGGGCTGTGTTGCATGCCTGTCATCCCAGTACTTTGGGAGGCCAAGACAGGCAGATCGCTTGAGTCCAGGAGTTTGAGACCAGCCTGAGCAACACATCAAAACGCTGTCTCTACAAAATACAAAAATTAGCCAGGCGGGGTAGCATATGCCTGTAGTCCCCACTACTTGGGAGGCTGAGGCAGGAGGATCACCTGAGCCCAGGGAAGTGGAGGCTGCAGTGAGCTGTGATCCTGCCACTGCACTTCCAGCCTGGGCGACAGAGTGAGACCCTGTCCCAAAGAAACTAAAATAAAGTGAAATGAAAACAAATACAAGACAAAAATGGATCGACTTAACACACAGTATGATGAACAGACATAGATAACAATACTGATCCAGTGTGTTTCTGTTATCAAACTCTTGGTCACTAGTCTAAAGGAAATGGGAATGGTGACTATAAATTGACAACCATTTACAACATTAGAAATACAAATTATCATCAGATATATCAGACTCACAATTACTTGCCCTTTTAAAAATTCATCCTGCTCTCCATAATTAAGAAAATATTGATAACTCTTTTTTTCCCTTAACTTAGCCCTTTGTGCTCCTGAATCTCTGAATTTGTGTTCACATCTTAAGACGCTTTTTGTAATTATTTACTGTAGCTTTTTGTCTTCAGTTGAGACATCACCTATATTCTCTTTACACTTTTCCACAAATGACTCAATTTTTTCGTAAGCATCATTGATGAGTTCCATGTATGTGATGATAGTGTAATGATAAATTATCAGTGTGATTTCCCTCCAGTCTTGTTCATTATTCAAGTGACTCTCCTTGGTTTAGCAACAGGTCAGGAGGTATCTATGACATTTTGTTCAGGTTAAGCAGTAAGAAGAAAACAAAATCTACATTATCTTTTTCATATTTTAAACACAAGCCAACAAATAATTTGAAAGGACCCGTGATTAGACAGTGAGGATTTTATGCTCCCTCAAGAGTAATTGAGATTGTTTAATTGTATGGAGGAATGAACACATCTCAAAGGGAAGCAAGAAGATACAATATTTAGATCACAAAATCATTAGGAAGTGGCTTTGCACGGTGGCGACACCACTGTACACAGGAAATATCAGGGCACAGTGGCGCACACCTGTAATCCCAGCACTTTGGGAGGCTGAGGCAGGTGGATGACCTGAGGTCAGGAGTTTAAGACCAGCCTGACGAACACGGTGAAACCCCATCTCTAGTAAATACAAAAAGTTAGCTGGGTGTGGTGGCACACACCTGTAATCCCAGCTACTTGGGAGGCTGAGGCAGGAGAATTGCTTGAACCTGGGAGGCAGAGGTTGCAGTGAG